AATGCAATTTTAAAGTTTTAATTATTATTTAAACATATTAAAAAGTTTTACGCTCATTATTAATAAAGATTGAAACTAAATATTTTTTTGTTTCGAAGTTGAAATCAAGGCATATTCACTGCCAAAAGTCAGTTAAGGGTTTTCCATATTATTCGTTATTTCTTATTTTATTCAGTTTTTGGTCAAATTCCAAAATTTCTCTCAAACCGTATTTCCTTTTTTTTAATATAGATAGTATTTATTTACCTCATGATATGCTGCAAAACCTACCTAATCACGAATTTCTAATTTTATGTACTCTTGTCTCCGATTGTACCTCCCAAACATCCTTAAGGCTCCATATCAGTCGTTTCTAGAGAATGAGATTTTTTTGAATCTTATTAAACAGATTACTCTTGATGTATACAAGTTAGAAGAGTGGTCGAAGTCTTAAATGAAAGCTCTTATTATTGTCTACACAAGTATGAAACGCTTTTTTTTTAATGCACTTTTCGTTTTTGTTTTATTTAAAAACTTAATTAAAACTAATTAAATAAATTCCATGCACATAGTAATGAGTTAGAACCTGCGCTTCGGGCAAATGATAGTTTAGGGTGTTCTTAAGAAAAGTATGAAGCCCGATTTTTGTTAGATGTTAAACAAACAGAAATATTTTGGGAATTGCATGACCCAGAAAAATTAAGATAGGCAACCAATGTTGCTCGGTTTAGGGTGATTTATTAGAGACCATTAAGCAACCACTACCTATCATCCTTCGCGTCAGTAGAATATTTGCGACAGTAATTTAATGTAAGTCCACCTGTACCCCTCTTAACTCCTGTTTTTGCTTTTAATATGGCTCTAACTAGCCCTTCATTTTCGAGAAGGTTTTTATAATGCAGTGTTACGTAACGGAATTAAATGGTCGGTGGGGGGTGGATCTGGACATGCGTTACGGCCCTGTTACCTTAAGGGAAGGGAGGGGATCAAAAAGGATGAAAAATTAAATTTAAAAAGTGAAATAGAGTTGGCATTTACTTGATGAACGTTTAAATAAATAAGACAATTTGTAAATTTATCACAAAATTTTTATTTGAAACGTTAATTGTCTCGTTATACTGTAACTTGTCAGATAATACTAATAAATGAAGATTATAACATATTGGAAAATTTTTTAAAAATATTTTTTAAATTGGTATCGATTAAATGTTATTACTGTTTTTCATCAGAACATGTGTTAATTAATATTTATTTCATGCTTTTTAATTTGAGGCCTCGCGGTGGGATTTTTTTTTTACTGTATTTATTATCATCACTAGTGTCCTGAATTTAAGTGTGTACGTATTACATTTATTACAGCAGCGATAAAATATGACAAAAATAGACATTTTCCACATATTTTGTTTTCATAATGCTTAAAAGGAGTGTTGGTATAAATAGCCTTTTTTTGGGACACAGCTCCTTTCGTACGAGGATATGCAGATGTTTATTCATTGTGGCTAAATAATTTATTAATAATTTGCATTCCAATTTCGTTTATGCAACGTTTAGTAACATAATAAAATTTCTTCCAACATCTAGAATATTTAAGTATAAACAACATGTTTTTTATTTGAACCTCGGTTTTTATGATTCACAATTAATGCAATATGACCAAAATAATCGTCGAACTAAAAGGATGACTTTTCTAACTAACACAAAATGTTTTCGTGGAAATTAACATTTGGTTTTATTTATAGACTGAACTATGAGTTTCTACCAAGTGTTTGTTCATTTTGGAATTGTTGTTAATTAGACATTTTCATCACATTTCGTCACATGTTTAAAAAATGAACAATTTAAAATAAATAACTGTCATAATTGTTTTTATTAAACATTGGGCCTTTTTATTTTTTACTGCCACTTTTTCTTTCAGTTTTTTTATGTACAATTTTTTGGTAATATCAGTTATATTGTCATAAGTGTGTATTATTCGTGATATTTATTACCAAAATAATTTAACAGCAAGGTTATCGACTTAACGAAGGTGTTTTGAGGCACGAATAAGTAAACAAAAGACCTGAAGGATTTTTAACCTTTATTATTTTGCAATAAGTATGTATTTGAAAAATATTTTCACCATAAAACTAAAGTCTATTTACTTACATTAATGATTATAAATAAAGTAAATAATAAAATTCATTGTTACGTGGTATGCACCAGTTTAGGTTATGGCGGGAAAGACTTATCGGATTGACATGCGCTGCAGTAGGTATTGATTTAGGTTAGGTTAGGTTAGGTTATGGAAAGGTTTTCGTGGTTGACGTGTGTGAAATTATATGCACTATGGGTTTGTGTTAGGTTATGGTGAAAAGAAGATTTCTTGATTGGCTTGGGTGGACTAAGAAACAAGGGTTAAGTGGTACGTATTAAGTTACGTTTCCATTTTGACGTGTATTAAGTGCCATGCACCATTGATTTAGGTGAGACAGAATTTCTTGATTGATATGTATTAAAAGGTTAATTTAGGGTTGGAAAGGTGCGTTTGATTGGTATATGTAAAGNGGAAAATATTTATTTTAAAATAAATAATAAACAGCGATACTTACGTATGCAATAAAACAACAATGTAGATAGCAAAAAATTGACCTTCGAATGGAAAAGTTGAATTTTGATTTCACTTATAATAATGATATGTATAGTATTCACGTACCTACCTCACCTGTTTTTTCTTTGTGAGGTTTCGTTTGGAATGGAAAACAAATAACCTTGGGAAATTTTGATAACATTTTTACAATATAAGTTATTGTTCAACGTTTCTGGTGTTTTGCACAACAAATTCCTTTTTCCTGAGATCCCCAAGCAAAGAAAAAAACATATTTTATTTTGCTAAAACATAAAATACATTGAAGTCTTTAAATAATGTGTAATCACTGTCCTTTCTACTAGTTTATGACATAATAGTTGTTGTTTTTGTTATTTTTTTCTTGTAATTTAATTATTTTTAACTAAAATAACCTCGAGTGTTCTAGAAAAGGTTTTTGATTCGATTAATAGGTTAATTATTATTATAAGTGTAAGACGATTAACATTATAATTCATACGAAGTATAAGTTACAATTTGTTTGATGTTTTTGATTACCTATGTTTAATAATAACGCAATTTTAAGAAAAGGTATAAAATACGGTGATATTTTTACTATTGATAAAAGAGAAGGTTCTAGTTTTTTTAGCTGTACTTATTTCCGAAAACCGCATATCGGATTGACTTCGGAATTTGTATAATAAGGGATTTTCGGTGCACCAAGAACGAATTTGGTTATGAAAATGTCCCCAAATGCTCCCAAATAATCCCATAAAATAATTTAGTAGGAGCAAATACCCACTAGATGGCGATACACTGCCTCTATTAGGATTGTTTGGTCTGATTTCGAACAGTTTTCTTTTGTTTGTTTGCTTAGGATTATATGTTACGGTGCGAAAAGACAATACGAACGAAGTGTGTATTGTCGTGTTATATTCTTTTATAGCAATTCTAGTTCTTTCGGTAATTTTTAATACATAAAGGTGATAAAATTTCTTATAAAAACTTATTTGCATTTTTTTATCATGTAGGAAATACTGAACTTGTATGATACGTAAAAGTGTATAAATGCAGTAAGCCAAAAAAGAAATGTAATTAGATAAATTATTACCAAAATTGTGTTAAAATCGACATCTTTTCTCTTATTTACGAGATTGAGAAAGTTCTGATAAAATGATATTAGTGTTCCTACTTTTTTTCATTAATAAAAACAGCAATTTTAATTTTAGGATCAGAGACTTCTGGAGCGAGCAGGGCCCAACCGACATTTTGTTGAAATTAAAACGAAAAGAAATCACCCTGTACCGTGCCGCAGAGCAGTTGAACGTAACCCCCCAGACACTGTCCAATTACCTGATCTCCATGTCTCAGATGGAGAACAACGACTCGAGTATGCCGGGTGTCCAGCCGCACGTCGGCGAGTCATACGACGAAGCCGAGTCAGACGACGACTCGGATCAGGTGGCTCCCCCGGACACTCACATCATCAAACAACATCAACCTGTCGCATTCAGGAACAACGTGAAAGGTGGTGGTGTCGCCAGCATTCCGGCAACGGCCACGTCCGTAACGGCAACGGCCATTGCGACGGTGGCGAATCAGTCGTCCACGTCGACGTCATCGTTACCCAACTGTCCTGACGTAACGATAATCAAAAAGGAGAAGTTGGACAACGTTATGGGTAAGATGAACAACAATTCGGATCATTCCAACAGTCGGCAGTCGAAAGGGGGTGCCGATCAGCAACAGGCATCAGCCAAGTAATAAAAAGCCGCCCCTATTTATTTATTATTATTATTCAACAATAATAGTGATAATAATAATAATAATGATTACGAAACCTCTTCATAACATTTCCAACATTAGTATTCTATGCAGACCAAAGTAATTTTGTATCGTTTTAAAATTTAATTAATAATCTTTTTTAGTTTTATATATTAATAATAACTTACTTAATGATAGAGATGTAGATGCAATGTTCGTGTTAGAATGTGAGTCGAAACTTGCGTGTGCG